GCTCAAGCGCGTCCCTATACATTGTCTTTCCCACAGTACCCACCAATGGAGGGGGAGCGTAACCAGCAACTTTACATTCATCCTTAGGAGTCAAAATCGGGACTCATTTTACCCCTGACAAAAATCTGCTTGATGGCTATAATTACACTCATGTCCATAAATTAAGGATAATTCGGAGTCACGCGGAAATCGAACTCTTAAATAAATATATCACCTGTAAAATCACTACACACATCTTCAAGAATCATATGCAAATTTCAGGAAGAAACCAGATGACACCGATGGTACGTCACAATGACGAGACTGAGACGAGAGTGATATATAAGGAATACAGGCAAAGAAGTAAAATTGTTCGCAGGCGCTTTATAAGCATTTCAGTGCAATAACCGAATACTTATGACACAAAGGACGCATTTGGATGATTTTTTACGTGGTAGAATTATTGGCCGTCTGGAATGTGGCCATACTCAACTGGAAGTATTAGACGAACTTGGAATTGCCCAGAGTGCCATCTCCAGGCTTTGGCAACGATTCCAAGATGATGGTAATGGGAGTAGACGTTACAGCACAGGTCGCCCCAGAGTCACAACGTCGAATGAGGACCGGTATTTGGCAGTTAGTGCCAAAAGAAACAGGCGGAGCACAGCCTCAGACCTGTCTCGTCAGCTCTCTTCAGCCCCTAGCACGACAATTTCAAGGCAGACCGTGTACAGACGCTTAGGGCATATCGGTCTATATGCTCGTATGCCCACCAGCGGCCGAGCGGTAAAGTCCCTGAACACTGGTAGTTCGGTCCGAGGTTCAAATCCCGCGAACGGGCTGGCTGCAGGGGTGTTCTCGTGGTTTTCCCCATGTGTAACGTGTATACGAGCCAGTTTTCCTTAGAAAGTCTCCACGAAGGCATCCCTCCCCTTAGGCAGATAGCCCTCGAGGCTTTGCCGTAATTAAATAACCTAACCTAACCTATATGCTCGTAGACCTGTCAGATGCGTTCCACTTACTGCAATTCACTGTCGCCTGCGGTTAGCCTGGAGTAGAGAGCATGCATTGTGGACACCGCAACAGTGGGCTTGTGTGATGTTTTCCGACGAGTCCAGGTTTAGCTTGCAGTCTGATTCTCGCCGGACTTTCATATGGAGAGCTCCAGGTACCCGTAACCACCAAGAAAACATCATTGAACGACACCGTTACGCTGGTGCAGGAGCGCTCGTTTGGGGTGGAACTATTCTGGGTTCCAGAACTGACCTGCATGTTCCAATTGGAACCATCACAAGCCAAATCTATCGGGACGTCATTCTGGAACAACATGTACGTTTGTTTCAGGGCGCCATGGGCGCACAATTTGTGTTTATGGATGACAACGCTCGTCCTCACCGTGCAAACATCGTAAGCGAATGCCTTCAATCGGAGGATATCACCGTATGGACTGGCCAGCATTCTCACCGGACTTGAATCCAGTAGAGCACGTGTGGGACATGCTTGGCCGAAGAGTTGCAGCCCGTCAACGTCCTCATACATGTCTGCCGGAACTTCGGAGAGCATTGCTTTTTGAGTGGTGTAATATCCCCCAAGATCAAATCGATAATTTGTTACTCAGCATGCCTAGGCGTTGTACGAACTGTATTGCATCGTCTGGGAGACATACAATGTATCAACAATCATACCAACCATGTAATATTGATTTTTTTGTAAATAGGGTTTTTTTTTTGTAATTTGCTCCAGGGAGAAAAAATCGCTAATTTTTTTAATAATATCAAACATATAGCATCTTTTTTTGCTCTTTACCTTTTGTTTAATAAATAAGCTTTACAGATAAGTGAAATTTGTTTTGCTTCTAACTCTTCCTTTGCCTGATTTTGCATTATCCTTAATTTATGGACATGAGTGTATATCAGCAGAGAGCCGCGGTCAAAAAGAACGTTCTCTCTCACCAAGATTCCCCTCATTTTTTGTTTCCACCCACCCATTCTGATTCGCCCCGTAATTTTCATCAGCTATACTTTAAGTATATTTAACTTTTGTGATGAACTTAAGTATATTTAACTTTTGTATATTATGTATATTTATGAACTTAAGTATATTTAACTTTTGTGAAGAACTTCCCCCCCCCTACGATCAGAACTTAAATTGGGCCGGAGCCCACCGGATTCTGGCTCCGGAGCTTCTTAATTTTGTAATAAATCATAATTCTAGCCAGAACGCACCGGAGCCCTGAATAAGAAGGCTGTGGCCCTTTTATGTAATTGAATAACAATTTCAATAGAAATTTTATCTCGAAAATTTTATTTTAACAATAAGATTATATTAAAAACTTGCGTATTACATTTCAATTTATCTCTTTACATTTTATTTAATTACTTCAATCTTTAATTATAAATAATAATTATCTAATAACTATGAATTAAATTATCAATTAAATTATAGTTAATTATATAATAATTATTGATTAAATAACAATTAAATAGCTATTAATTTGATAATAATTAACTATTTAATTTTGAAATTATTAGTGAGTTTAATAGTCATTTTATTCATTTATTTACTCTTGTTCCTCTTTGCTGACGGTCTTCCATAGGGCTCCGACATTTCTCATCTTAGAAATTAGCCCCGATTTCTAATCATAATACTCTTAATGCCAATTTTATTGTAAGTATAAGTATTGCTAAAGCAAGTACAATATTCGTGATGCCATCAACTACGGGAGTTTTCCTAATATCCTAATATTAAACTCCTAAACAATGTCGCTTATGTTGAATAGTATCTCGTTACGTTATTAGCAGTGAGCATATTCATCCATTTTAATATTGGTTTCATACATAATGTTGAGATCTGCAGGATGGTCAACAACTGAAAACTGAATTTTTAGCTTTCTCGTAGAGCTTTCTTTTTAATCAACTGAAGAATTTCTTCGCCAGTGGCACTGTTAGAATAACAATTAACGAATTTCCAATACAATCCATGAGTTCCTTATTTTTATTCTGATTCTTTTTCTGAATCTATTGATTTTCCTTTTCGTTAGGATCCGATGTAAAACTTCTTCTGGATCTGTTCCTAATCAACTATTTGATCTTGTCTGGTGATGTTATTTTGCTTATCAACGTATCCTATAATATCGGTAACATCATAGTAGGCAGCATTTAATTTGGACGTAAAATGCTCTATAATCGTATCAATATCAGGAATGTTGCTACTTAAATACTGTTCAGAGTAGATGTCTTCCTGGCTCTGATATCTAGTGTGTGATTCACCCTCCCCACTCAATATTGAAATAATTGGCGCACGATTTGAAGATAGCGTAGCTTAAACGTTAAGTTTCGTAGAAATATTAATGTTAGCAAATAGGATCAAAATATCCGGCCATTTTTCAAGACGTCTTAACTTATAAGTAAAGCCCCCTAAGGTGCATATAGTGAAATATGATTGTTGATTATAACCTGATGTATTATTTCTCTCCACACACAATCCAGTCCCTATAAGTCCCAGTCTTTGTGTTCCAGATAGTGCAGGAATGATGGAGTTAAAATATTTATAGCTAAATTCCATATACACTGCCGGGGGGCAGTTCTATATTTTCGTTCAACTGGGCCGACTGACGAAATTTAAATTGCGTTTTTTATGTCTCGAAAGCGCAACTTACGATGTATATTACATTTATATATAGCATAGTTCTAATATAGGTGTTTTGACACAAAATCGAACTGTTTTTTAAATGTTATGTCAATTTTCTTCTATATTTCGATTTTACGATTACAATTATGCCTAAATATTTCGTAAAATCCGCATCGAATATTTAGCTTGGCGCTTTTTTTCAGTTTGCCAAGAATAATTGGCGAAATTTTTAATTTATAGCAACCCATTTTTCTTTCCTTATTTTCACTGTATACGAAGGGGGGGGAATCCATCGTTCATACTTTCAAATAATTTTAACAAAGTGTGTAAACCACATTATTTTCATTTATATAGCTCCCCCCCCAAAAAAAAAATGCCTAATTTTCAAAATGCGCCAAAATGTAAATTCACGTATATCTTACAAAATTTTGAATAAAAAATCCATCTACTTTAAGATGATGAATAAAATTTTATTGGTTATAATAAAAAAATTTTTCGAAAAATTTATAAAAATTATTTTAAAATACAAATTTTTAAAATAAATCATAAAAAATGGGTGAATTTTATTTGGAATGAACCTAAATTTCGAAATGTGAAGGGAAGAATTAAATGAGTTTAATAAAAGAGAGATATTGATAAATATATACCAAATTGAATTAAACATTGAGGAGCTAAAATTTTGAGAGCTTATTTTTTAAAAACTACTCGTGCGGTTTTTATAAAATTTGGCAGTTTGGTATAATTTGAGTCATAGAATCGAAACATGGAAAACAATTGGCATGTCATTTTGGAAAAAATCTGATTTTGTGTCAAAATACTTGTTAGAACAATGCTATATATAAATCTAATATATATCCTAAGTCGCGCTATCAAGACATTAAAAACGCAGTTTGAATTTCGTCAATTTGAACGGTAGATATACAACTGTCCTTTTCTTGCATGCTTGACAACTTGACAACTGTACTGATTTTGGCATTTTGGAGATCGAAAAACTAACCTATTTTATATCAATTATTCATCAAAGCCACCTATTTTACAAGTTTCACCAAATTTGATTTATAGAGAATTCGCCTATTTGTAATTTAATTTCGAATGTATAGTGAGTATATCAGTACTCTCTCTATACATCAGTTTCCTGCCACTCTATATGGCCATATCTGTAGCACTGGCTCTGAGTATGCACTTCTTATCACTGTTGTTTCTAATATTTTGTCAGTTGATTAAAGCTTTAAACGTAATTTATAACTTTTCCGATTTCGCTATTTTCAATAAAAGAAATTAAAAATGAGGCATAAAAATGCTTATAAGAGCATTTATTTTTTTTTATCTCTATGAAAAAATTAAACGAAAAAAAAAGCGTAATGGGAAAAAGTGATATCATAACAAAGAAGTTAGAATAACATTAATGAAAAATATTTTATTTTTTGTAAATAAGGATACAAACTGTATTTCCTCAATATATATATATATATATAATTATTCATCTATATATAAACAAGTCACAGAAAACGTAAGCTGCTGCTGCCCAAATTCCCCATAGTGACCATCATTAAAAACAGTCTGTAAAAGTAGATTGTGAGGAAATTGCAGCTGCCAGAGCAGCAAATAAAGAGTTTTGCTGACTGGAATATCACAGAAAACCTATCTTGCAAAGCAGGAAAACTGAGCAGTTAATGCATTAGGAATGATCAGGCACTTGAGGTGTGTGTGTGTGTGGGGGGATTTTCTGAAATGTGTGCTTAATTGCCATACTGATTGCACTATAGATACTATAGACACCTGCTACTATTATTCCCCCTTGCATTATCTTCAGTTATTATTCTTCAAATAACTTCTGTTTACCTTTTTGCAATACGTTAAAACAGTTTTTATATTTAAATAATTGCATTTATTTTAGGAAAATTCTATCAAGATTCCACTAAAGTGTCATCAATTGATTCTTAGTAGCAAGTGAGAAGAAAACGGCGATCAAATATTATTAATTATTATAAATTGAATTAAGTCATATTAAAAGCAATTTAACTTCAAACGGAAACGAATTGCACGATGCCCGCTTTATCAAACAAGAATGACCCTGTGTATCTTAATTTTTTTCTAAACAAAATGCTAAATGATATTTCAGTAATCTCAGTTATAAAGAAAGAACTTTGTTTAATGCAGCTGTCATAGAAATTAATAAATTCTGTTAAGATAGGACAATTTGTGAAAATGTACAACTATAAAAATAAGTGTTATTCCACTTTATCAAAAGGATAATCTTGACTACTACCAACAAAATCTGCTCAGTCTCCTTAAAAGTGCAATATCAAATCAGCTCATTGAAAATCTCTGCTAGCTGCCGTAAATCTGTTATATTTCACAGTGATTTCCAATTCTTTGCCCCCTTTTTTTCTTGGTTATATTATAATTAGGATTCAGCTACACATTCAGCAATTTTAAAGATCAAAACAAATTAGTTTCCTTAACTCAAGGAGAATACAGAAAAATAACTTTTTTTCCAAGTTCTATATAATTATAACAATATTTAATAAGCTGTATTTTAAATACAATAAAAAAACAAAGCAGTACTAAAAACAGAATAAATAATGACAACAAATTGTTATTATACTTCAATAAATATCACCAATTTAGAAAAATGAATCAAATGTCATATTTAAAAATATTTTAGAATTTCATTACAAAAGAAGCAATTGTATAAATATACATAAACACTTTGTAAATACTTTTCCCTTTCCTCTTATATAATTTTTAATACAGGCAGAAATTTTCAACAGCAGCACAGAGGGGAAGGGGAAAAAAAAAAAAAAAAAAGGAAAGCTTCAAAACAGAAATCCACTGGAAAAAGACAATTCAGCAAAAGAATCTCATCACTAAAAATAAAAGTACTTAGCATTGACCGAGAATTCTATCTTTTGATTTTGGGAAAAAATGTTCTTATGGTACAAAGGCTGACAAAAATAATTGGCACAAAACTTGCACATACAAATTATAGTTCTAACATGACTCAATGATAAATTTCAATGAAGCAAATTCCTAAAGTAGTTCAGTTTTCTTCATACTAGTGACTGTATACAAAAACAATACAGAGTTGTAAAAATCAGTTTCTTTAAAGATAGCTTAGGATGACTTGACATGAAAATCTTCTATTTACTTTCAGCCAATAAACTTTATTTTGCGACCTCATCAAATCAAATTCTGACTTGTATCGTTTTATCAGTGACAGCAAAAAAGTGGAAATACCTATTACACACTATCATAAAAGGAAAAGTTTCAGTCAATTTAAGTTTTAAATTTCAAGTAAAAATTGCCATTAATCATATATTTAAGGCACAATGCTAACATCAGTAACAGAAACTGTTATGATGAAAGAGCTTTATCACGAAACACATGTCATAAAAACTGTTGCTATGTCGCAAAGTCACTATAAGGCACAATGGAAGAAAATTCTCATCTGAAAATAACTATAATAAATGCACTCTAGTTTTGCTTGAATTTCTTTAAAGTAAATGAAGTTTGTTTGGAAGTATCTTTTGTTTAGAATACTCTACAAGTTACGGAAATAGTTGGATAATGTTTTGACAGTAACTGACATGATCAAATCCATTGTCTGCATCTTTACAACATAGCATATTACACATTTACACTCAGATCTTCTCTCCATTGGAGTCAACTTCCAAAACATGAACTGTCACATAAAAAATTAAATTTACACACGTGTCGTCATGGTCTTGGAATGGAATGAGGATTTTCCCACTAAGCACACATAATGTTAAGATAATAAGTTGACTTTCTTAGTATTCAAGAAGATTGGACCCTCGGGCAATTTCTTTAAGAAGTTCCAAGCTTCTGTCCTTGTCATATTGTTAACCGGATGGTTGTTGATGGCTAAAATCTCATCACCTTCTTCCAGTTTGCCCTCCTTATCTGCAGCACCACCTGAAACAAAATAAAGCGAAAAGATTTAAACACATACTTGTGTTTAAATATAAAATCTAACTTTTTACATTTTTTCTGTCGTGCAAAAGTTTTGGTGAAATATTCATTATGCTTTGTGAATTTATATAAACACTGCTGGCCATTAAAATTACAACACTAGGTAGGAATAATCTGACAAACATCAAACTCGCATGAAAGGAAGACTACGTTGGGATATGCAAATGATTACTATTTCAACCCATTTAGATGATGCAGGAGGGAGAAATGATATCTGAAGATCTACATAAAAAAAAAATTTAAAAAAAAAAAAAAAAAATTCTGTAGTGGATTTCTCATTCAGAAAGCACTTTGTAAGGGCAGAGTTTGCTCAGAATATCACGTTATGTCTTGAATAATAAATAAGAAGAAATGTTTACCAGCAAGTGTTAGAATGCGATAGAGGCAGGATCGTTGCCTATCGAGAGTGTGGATTATCGTTCCGTGATATCGCCGTCGCACTGGTCAACATCCAACCACTGTCATGTGAATATGGAATCAATGGGTTACTGAGCACATTATGGACCATTAGTCAGGAAATGTTTGCAGCATGCCTAGTAACCGCTCGTACGCTGCTTGCAGCCACGTGGGCTATCAACAACAGTGACTCTGGTGCACTGAATGACAAAGCTGAATACAGGAGTGGCACAATGCCACCTTTTGAAACAAGTCCCATTCTTCATGCAGTATTCTGATGGCCGGATACATGTCTGGAGGCTCCGAGGAGACCACTTGTTGCCTGCTTGCATTCGATATCGGCACAGGGGACCCTGCACCTGGTGTAATGGTTTGGGCAGCCATCAGGTGCATGATAACCACATTTTTAGTTCAGATCAACAGTAATTTGAACGCAGAACAGTACATTTCTGACATCTTACTCCCAGTGGGTGTGACCTATCTTCGAGGCCTGCCAAATGCCATCTTCCAGCAAGATAATGCAAGACCACATGCTACACATCATGTTCTGACCTTCCTCGATACGCAGGGTATTTGATTACTGCCATGGCCTGTATGGTTGCTGAAAGACTGGTCCGCCACCCTTGTCCAGATGTATTTGTTCAATACGATTGATGAAGTGTGGCATAGACTTGAAGCAGCAAGGAATGAGTTGCTCAGTTCGACTCCATACCTAATCAGGTAAGGCCCGTTTTAGATGCCAAAGGTAGCACTTGTTTGTACTAATCTCTCACCCCCCATAAACTGCTTACAAATTTAATCATTTTATCTTCATGCCATAGTATTTACGTACAATTAATATCTTTTTGTGCTTGCTTTCTTTCATGGTGCTGCAATTTTAATGGCCAGCAGTGTATATTCAAGAATTAATCGGATCATTTTTAATGCCAACTGTCTAGTAAAGATTTTTCTAAACAGAAAATAATTAAACAAAAATTGCTCAAGTTTAAATCAATTAATGATTTCTTACTGAATAAAACACTATTCATTATTAACTTGTAATTGGACAAAAAAATATTTATTATGCACATCTCACTAAATTTTGTATGCAAATGTATTGAGACTTTTGTACTTAAATTGAATAATAATAAAATGAATGTTTTATTTAATAGATTTTTTGCTCCCAAAGTAACATAAAATAAGTTTTTACACTATTTTATATTAATTTTCATGCTGTTAATGTTTTGTATATGTTGGAGACGTCTGCTGCAGACAGACGATTACGTAACGGCTGTGCAAAGTGGACAGAAGGAGCGCCGCATTTGACTGGACTATTTTTTGTATTATTCTTATTTTTTTCTTTAGCTGCAAACTAAGCGAGAAAATTCCCTTTTCATTCAGATATGTATGCACTAGTTAGAGTAATGTAACACTTTCAGCTTGTGGGAGATATCCATATTAAATCTTTATATTAATAATCCCTGCTGTGATTATTTAATTTGTAACCTTCACATTGTAGCCCTGAGAGTTGCAACAGTATATTTACCTTTAAATATCCTTTTGACAAGAAGAGGTCTGTCACCCTGAGGGGAATCCTTTCCTCCTTCAATGCTAAAACCAACACCTGTGGCATCCTTCTGTATCTCCACAATAAAAACTTCTGAATCTAGCAAATAGAATTAATAATTAAATACTGAATGTAAAATATTAATGCAATGTGTAACGTAAATACAGAAAAATTTTTTTTCTTTTTCTTTCTACTTATTTGCAGGCTATTATTTTAATACTAAATATCTAAGCAGAAAACAAAATGTGTAAATGATAAATAAACTAATTGAATCGCAAAATTTAAAATAAACATGTTGGAAAAGCTTTTATTTTTAATTAGCTTTCACTTGATGCAAATGTTTAAAACTGGTAAAAACTTGTATTTATGGTGTCATCTCCAAAATTTAGGACTCTGATTTATTATAAAATTTTAGAGTACTATGACATTTTGTGGTCATCTCACAGTTTATGCAATCTCATATGTGAATATGAATACTCTGATATTACTTAACTGGCATCACATATTTCAAAAGAAATTCTTAAAATTAAAACCAGAACCAGAAATATTATGTTCAGTAATGAACTATGAAATTATGCTGTTTGTTATATTATAACAAAGTAGATCACTTTAAAATATTGATTATATTTAGTAAAAATTAAAAAAAAATAGAATACTAGGAATTCTATTTAAAATAATTTTTTATAATGTGATGAAAATGTAAACAAATCATGTAAAGTACTCAAATGCACAGTAAGAGTATAAATAAACCCATAAAGAAAACTTGCAAATGTAATTCTATAACTTTTGAGAATAAAATTTCTATAAAAATTAAATAAAATAATTTTTATAGAATTAGAATAAAATTTTGTGACTCTTTGAATAAAATTTCTAGTTGTCACTTACCTCTATTGACATTATAATCTTTCCTTCTCCTTTCTTTTTCATCAATTTCTTTTTGAATAGTTGATACAGTTTCTTTTGGTCTTGCAAGAATGAGTAGGACACGAGGACTTGGTGATTTCAAAATATGCAATGCCTCACCATGGCTCACTCCACGAAGATCTCTGCCATTAATGGACATGACTCGATCTCCTTTCAAAATGTTACCATCCCTATCAGCTATGCTGCCTGCTATGACTTTATGCACCTATTTGGTGAACAGAAAATTATAGATTTAGAGGAGTACATTTTATTTTTCCTTCATTTTTGGAAATAATAGTTATGCATCTGAAGAGAAATCAACCCACCCCCTTCCAAAAAAAGGGGGACGAACAACTGGTACATATTTAGATAAATATCATTTCCCTATAATAGTCATTTACAATGAAAACACAACAAATCTTTTAGAATGCTTACTTATATACAATTAGTAGCTCTTTGAAAAATTAGCAGTGTAAGTAAGCCATAAAATAAAGTATTCATTTATACCTCAGAAAAATTAGAAAAACACTTATTAAACTGGGAATAATGAAAATAATTTTGAAACGAAACTAATGAAGTAATTTATGCAGCAATTTAATTTTGTATTTGAATGCACAGAAGCGAGACATTCATATTATATTAAATTATAGGTGCATCTTTCCTTGAGAAGCATTCCGTACCTTGCCACTATTTTAAAGTGAAATGTTTTAGTTAGTATTTGAATTTTGAACAAGGCCATAGTAGGATGGATGACTTTAATGATGTTGTCGTGTCTATGATAAAACCTGTTAAAATAGTGCCACGGGCAGAGATAGATTCAAATAGTGCCCTAGGAATTTGCAAAATGTTATCCTAGAAGTTCTTAAAAGTAACACCAATTTTTAGGAATTCAGCAAAGATGGCTGGACAATAAAAAAATGTGTGCAGTTGTCAGTTCTGTGTCTGGGCAGTTACCACTGTTCTTGTAGGGTTGTTATTCCCTTGAAGTTGGAAAGGACTGTATCTCCGAAACCATTTCCCAGACCCCAGGGTCCGATCTGGACCTTCTGAAAGTGGGTGCAGCTGCTGGAGTAGTGGTATACTACCTTACAGCCTCTCCTGTCCCCATCCAACATCGGCCTCCGCCAGTAACCGGGTTGTTACGTGGTCAGATATCGAAGGTTGTCTGGAGGGTGGTGCCCCTCGGTCAGCGCTTGGGGATGGACGATGTTTGACATGGCCGAGGGGATAGCCTCTGAAGGTTTGGACACTTAATCCGTGTAGGGCTGTTATGAACAGCTAGGGAATGGAGTCCTTATCCTCTAGTTTCCTGTCCTGCATCTGCACACCTGTAATGTCAGTCTACCTAAAATAAGGACAACTTGCTCTGCTCTTTGTTTTCCCTAGGCCAGTGAATAAAGTAGTAATGTAAGTAAGTATCTGTAATAAGATGAGAAAATGACTTAGGAAAGAATGCATATTGTCATGCTGCCTTTCATGCCCAAAATCCACACTGCACAAGAGAACCACCCCACAATATTAAAAAATTAGCCTCAAAGATCTAATACAGCCCTGAATTATTATTACAATTACATAATTTCTTATTATGTGATAAAGTTGAACAGTGAAGAATCTTAAGAAAGAATACTCCCTCTTTAGCAAGAAAGGTGTTGAATGAACATGCTGATTTATTCAAAATGTACCATTATAAAACAGTCATCCCTTTTTATGAGTATCTCCCCCCAGTGGTGGGCTCTAACTGTTTACAGGCATTGGCCACGATTAAGGAAGGAAGCGGTGGCCTTTTTATTATGCATGCACCTAACAAGTGGGGCAGCATTACCCTGATAAAGGGACGGAAAATTTACATCCACACTTTCTCCCAGACTCAAACCCGGGTCCTTTGGTACGCTAGTCAGTATCACTAACCATTTTCCTATCTGGGAGGCTTTAGCAATTAAATAACTTAGCAAATTTTATGATAAACTGAAAACATACCGTTATTTCTTTGACTTCATAATCAGCTCCTCCAGCCAAAGTGATACCAACGCTGCCTCCACCTTCACCTTCTCTTCTCAAGATGACTCCTAGCAGGTCCAACTGTGCAGCCTCGTCTTCGAGCAGTTGGCTCCGTGCCTCTTCTATCAACCTCTGCAGATCATTTTCTTCCTCTAACCTGTCAGAAGTGGAAGTTCTTCTAGGAGCTACAGGTAGTGAGTGTCGAATAGCTAGAAATAAGGATTTAAAATTAGTTTACAGCAGGGTAATCTTTGGTAAATGTGGAATGCATATGTTAGAGCCTTAAGTGTGACACTGGTTGCTGCTTTCGGACTCAAAGCTGCCAAAAAATCCTTTTGCTTTGGGTTCAAGATAAATTGCACAAAATTTTATCACGCTTGAATAAAATTGTACAACAGTGTAGAAATAACACGGCTGTATGGTGCTATGTACAGCTTTAGTAACAACTGATACTTGCCTTATTATTGGTTATATTTTTTCCAGAAACTTTTGGAAATAACCAGGCACTTGGCTAACTTCTTCACCATTTTCGAAATATTCGCGATAAACTGACAGACAGTACACTTAAATTCTGTTCTAAAGAGCTGACATCTAATGGGTTTTAGTAATAATTGACAGTGGGAATGCAACAACAGCAATGCGAACCTAAGACGGGTGTCACGAGCACAATGTTCTAAAATGAATGTTTTGGGTGTGGACTCCATGGAAGGATGGTATTTCAAGGTTTTTTATATAGTGACTTCCTTTTGTTTTGAAGCTCAAGTGTTCAAAATTTCATCAATATCATATTAAAACTTTAATTTCACAAGTCCATTCAGTAATTAATAATAATTGAAATTAATTGAAATTTATAACTTTTAAGTTGCTTAGTTTGTTAATTAATAACAGAATAAATTTGAAAGAAAAGTTAACGCTTTGCTAAGCGACAAAACTCTGCCACGTGGAAGACAAAAAATTTTAATTTGGTCAATGGCAACACACTCCTTTTATATAGCTGAGTTTTCTGATTAAATTTGAAACAAATATCTTACACTTTGCAGAGTGGAAACACAAAACTTTACTGATGATATACTTTCTTTACCCCATTATATTATAGATTCATAGTACTATCGAGAGTCAGATTTACAGTACAAGTATCACGTATTTTAAAGTAAGACTTCTATAAAAAATTCCCTCTGCCTTTGCAATTTGTATTATAAGGTATTTCTCCCACCTTCTAGGCGAGCCTTCGTGGTGTAGCGGTTTGCACACTGGACCGTATTCCAGAGGTCCGCGGTTCGATTCCCGGAGAAGAAAGGCGTCATTAATTTTTCATCTTTCCTGCTTCCAAAAATACCTAATGTCTCTACAGTATCTTCAGATTAAATCAGATATGTTCACTTTTACCTCATGAAAGCATACAGAAAGTAAGTCTTTCATTCCTTTTCTCTAGCACAATAAAAGACCATCTTCATGACTTTTAATTTTCTGTTGAAAATGCCAGAATGACTGAGGTAAGTCTTTATTCCAGAAATACAGAATAGTTGTAAAATAATTAAAATTTTTTGTCACCTCTTACAGTAGAATTTTTTTTCTCTTTAATAATAATATATTATTAGGGCATACTTCTGAGTTCATGTTTGGAAAGGACATTTACAACCATAGTGTTACGAAATGTACAGGCATGGTAAGATGGCTTCCCTGCAAAGCAGTTTCAGAGTTGCCATAAAATGGCAAGGGAAAGCAGGGTTGCCATATTTGGTGAGAAATCACCCATTTGGCAACAAAATTGACGTATGCCATAGACTGATGGAGAACCTTCTGGAACGAATTCTTTAGCCCAGAATGTTATCGAACACAAGCCGAAAGCTATATAAACCCTGCTAATCCGCAGTCAGTTAGTTAGTATTGAGAATGTGCTTCATCGAGAGGGCGAGTCAGAGTGCCTCGTCTGGAGTGTGAGTTAGTTAGTATCGAGTGTGTGCCTCGTCTAGCGAGCTGATATTCAGTGTCTCAGAGTGTGCCTCGTCTAGATTGAAAGATAGTCAGTTACGAGTTAGTGTGTGTCTCGTCTAGCGAGTCAATCGAGTTGAGAGCCGGGCAGCGAGTGCCGAGTGGGTCTTCGAGTGCACCGAAGGAGTCCGTTAGTGTATCACGGTTTGTGCATCATCGAGAGAGCTTGTTGAGCTCCGGGAACGACTGAACTGAAGAGTCGGGAGCTGTGCTCGTATGTTGTCGAGTGCATCGTGAATTGTAGCATAGAAAGTACGTGGAGCGTGGAGTTCCAAGAACGACCGAGGAGAGTCGGGAGCTGTATTTTGGTGCTTTGCAATGAAGCTGTCTCCAATGTGATAGCCTGAAGGCTGTTACAGCGAGTGTATATAGTGGATCTCCAACGACTGTAAAACGTGACTTTGGAGCTGTCCTGACAATATTGGCAAATAAAATGTGTTTCGATACTTCATCAAGTGTCGTCGTTATTCACTCCAAATCCACACGAACCCCGTACTGGTGTCAGAAAAAAAAATAACGTAACAATATACTGTATTTGATGGCATATAAGACACACCCTTATTTAGACGGCCACACACAAGAAAAAAAAGTTTCAATATGTAAAAAAGGTTAGCTTTAAATATGTTCTTGTCCCATAGATGGCGCCACTGTTTTTATATTCTTCTATAACTGTGCACTCCAATAAAACTTTACTTGTGTTCCAAACTCCCAACAGGTATGTTGTGTATTTTATTCTCATGCATGCAAGTAACCACTCTCTGCTATATTGAGTTTCTAATAGGTTATGGGCCCAGGCCAGATTAAGAAATGAGGATAAATAATCTAGTGTCTAGTTAAGTTAGTTTTTATTTAATTCTATTTGTAAATTTTTAGAATTACTTTAACCAGAATTGACCACATGGTTATGTTAGGGTTAGCCATAGCACATGGTTGCAAAAGCTTAACTAGTACAAATATTTTTGACTGTTAATTATTTGGGCAAATGTTTCTTTGAGAATAAAATTAATTCAATAGAAAATTTATTTGAATTTATCTCAAATTATAATTTTTTTTTTTTGTCTCTTGTTGATTAAAGTTAAAAAAGGAAAAATGCCAGGGGGAGAAGGTTCATTTAGTCATAAACAATTGAGTGGAAGGGAAAATTACATGGATTGGAAATTTTCCATGAAAATGCATCTTATTAAATTAGATTTATGGGCTTATGTAGAGGGTACAAAAGAAGATCCAGTAAAGGATACCAAAGCTTTGTCATATATAGTTGAAGGGGTAAGTGAAATTATTTTTCAATGATATAAGGGATTTAACAAGTGGAAAGGAAGCTTGGAAAGTATTAGCTGAAACATATGAGGATAAGGGAATCACAAGAAAGGTTTCAATAATTAAAACATTAGTGAATACCCGTTATACTGATTGTAAGGATATGTCTGACTATTTACATAGGGCCATTTCATCTTATCAGCAGTTAAAATCTACTGGTGTTAAACCTGATGAAGAATTAATTGCAGGAATAATTTTAGCTAATTTACCTGATAGGTTTGAACCTCTTATAATGGCTTTGAAAAATTGTGGTGAGGCAATAACAGTTGACAATGTTAAAAATCGCTTGTTAGCTGAAGATTCAAAACCCCTAGTCAATGAAAGTAAGGAATACGCATTTGTTAATAAAAATATCGGAAGCAAAAGGTACTTTAAAGGAAAATGTTTTAAATGCAATTTGTTTGGCCACAAAAGCTCCTGATTGTCAGAAGTCACCTCTCAAAAAGGGATAGATATAATGAAAACAAGTTTAACAAAAAGTCTAATGTTGGATTAAAACATAAAAAAGGGGAAGAAGCTTATGTAGTGGAAATTAGTGTAGCTAATTCTAATCCACATCCCAATATTTGGTACATGGATTTCTTGTGCTTCTTACCACATGACTCCACATAAAGAATTATTAGATGATTATCAGGATGCTAGTATTCATCAAATAAAAACAGGAAGTTCAGTAATAGAAGTAGAGGGTAAGGGTAAAATAACTTTCCTCTTATCTAGAAATAAAAAAAGGGAGTCTGTAACTTTTAGTAATGTTTTACACGTTCCAAAGTTAACAGCCAATTTGCTGTCCATTAAGTATTTAAATAAAGTATTTGGAATGGTTAGTACTTTTACAAGTGAAAGATGTTTTGTGTATGATGGTAAACATTTAGTTGCTACTGGAACAGGTATGGGAGATAATTTGTATTCTCTTGATTTATGTAATGAGTGGGCTTTAATTACTGATAAAAATATTTCAAATGAATTATTACATAAAAGAGTGGGCCATTTAAGTGAAGGAGGAATGACCAGATTAAAAGATATGGTCGAAGGTTTTTACATTTAACGGAAAATTGTTAAATTGTGTGTCATGCATTAAAGGCAAAATGCATAGACAACCATTTCCCAAGGGAAAAGCTAAGCGTGCAAAAGAGTTATTAGGCATAGTACACAGTGACCTGTGTGGGCCTATGAATGTTACATCAATTGGTGGTTCTCGCTACTTTATTAGTTTTATTGATGATTTGTCGCGAATGACTTTTGTTTATTTTTTGAAAAATAAATCTGAAGTTTTTGAAAAATTCAAAATATTTCAAGCATTTGTTGGAAAGGCAAACTGGCAAATCAATCAAAATCTTACACTCAGATAATGGTACTGAGTATGTAAACAATGAGATGGATAACTATTTAGCATCAAATGGAATTCAGCATCAAAAATCTATTCCATTTACACCAGAGCAAATGGGTGTAGCTGAACGTAGTAACAGAACTCTTGTAGAGCGAGCACGATCAATGTTGGTGGATGCTCACCTTGATCAAAATTATTGGGCTGAAGCAGTGCAAACTGCAAATCACTGTAAAAATATATCTCCAACTATTGCAGTTGCAGGTATGACCCCTTATGAAAAATGGTATGGGGATAAGCCAAATTTAGAATACTTGAGAGTATTTGGATGTCGTGCATTTGCTCACATTCCAAAACAAAAACGTAAAAAGTGGGATATAAAAGCAAAGGAATTAATGCTTGTTGGGTACTGTCAGGATAGAAAAGGCTATCGATTAATAGATCCCAAAACTTATGAAATAATAAATGCACGAGATGTACAATTTTTGGAAAATGAAATGTACTACAAAAAGGCAAGTAATATGCCAAAATTCTATGATGAATCCTCATTCAGTGGGAGCGTGATTATGACATTTTCAGATACTGAGAATGCAATAGCTGATGATCAGAACGGTGAATTGGAAGGGATGGTTAATGATAATACTCAGTCTGATCATGAATTAGTTAATGCTAGTATTAAATCTAATCACGATGAACATAATACTGCTCAAAATGATAGCCATGATAACAGTAGTGTAGTTGATGAGCTACCTACATTGACTAGAAACAGAAAACTTAGATTCCCAAATAGTTATACGGACTTATGACACACACGGGATGCCAGAAATGCCAATGCCAAATTTAGATCGAATGTGCTTTGTTAAAGCTTATGGCAGCAGCAACAAATGGTGTGTATTCTGAACCGAAAACCATTGATGAAGCATTAAGGGGCAATGATGCAAACCATTGGAAGGATTCTATATGTGAGACTATATTAGGCCATATTAAAAACAAAACATGGGAAATAACAGATAAACCTTATGATAAGAACATTGTAGATTGTAAATGGGTTTTCAAAATTAAATGTAATTCAGTAGGCAAGATTGAAAGATATAAACACGTTTAGTTGCTAAGGGCTATTCTCAGATTGAGGGAATAGATTATACTGAAACATTTGCACCAGTTGTCCGATACGTAACATTAAGAGTTTTATTAGCTTATGCAGCTATATATGATTGGGAAATTGACCAAATGGATGCTGTAATGGCTTTTGTACAGGGAACTCTAAATGAAGACATTTATATGAAAATTCCAGACGGTTTCAGTGAATTTTACAAGCAAAACTTAAAGGGAAAGGTCCTAAAATTAAACAAAGCATTAGATGGTTTAAAGCAGAGTGGTAGACTATGGTACCAACTGTTAGAAAAGGGTTTAATAGAAATGGGACTGAGGCAAAGTTCTTTTGATAGTTGTGTCTATATTAAAATAAATGAAAATAAAGATCTTGTTATTGTTACTATATTTATGTTGATGACTTACTCATTTTTAGTAATAACATAGAACTTAAAAATTGGGTAAAACAACAACTTAAAGAAAAATTTGAAATGAAAGACTTGGGACCAGCAAATTATTGCTTAGGAATTAAAATTGAACGAGATAGAACTAAAGGGTCCATTAGCCTTAGTCAAACTCAGTATGTAGAGAGTATGCTTTGCAAATATAATATGCATGAATCTCATGGTGTAAAAACACCATTAGACCAAAATCAAGTGTTATCTAAACTGCAGATACCAACTAGTAAGGAACAAAAGCTACCTGTTCCTTATCAGGCTGCCATTGGGAGTCTTCTTTATGCAGCTCAAGCAACACGGCCAGATATAACTTATGCTGTGAATTTCCTTAGCCAGTTCTCCAATAATCCGGCAAGGGTTCACTGGAATGCTGTCAAGCGCATCATGCGGTATCTTCGAGCCACTACAGATGCTACATTGTCTTTTTCAAAGGACTATAGTGCTGATGTCCTTGGTTACAGCGACTCAAACTATGGAGGTGATGCTGGGGATCGACGATCAACCACTGGATATGTTTTCCTCATCGGAGGTGGTGCAGTGTCATGGTGTAGTAAGCGTCAACCAACCATTGCAACTAGTACAACAGAAGCCGAATATATGGCTCTTTCTGCAGCTACTAAAGAAGCCATATGGCTCAACAAAATTGTTAAAGAACTTGGGATTATTACTGCAAAGCCAGTATTATTATACTGCGATAACAACAGTGCTATTAATCTCAGCAAAAATAGTGTGTATCATGGTAGATCAAAGCATATTGATATACAACATCATTTCGTGCGAGAAGCTGTGAAACTTCAGCACATTGACATACAATATAAGACTACTAATGATATGATTGCAGACTTTTTGACAAAAAATGTAAACAGTGCAAAACATGAAATGTGTGCAAAAATGATGGGTTTAAAATGAAGACCAATGTAATTTAATGTTTTATTATATGTATGTGTGCTGATGTAATTTCTCATTGTATTTAATTAGGATGATATTTAAACCTAAAGTGGGAGTGTAAAAAAGGTTAGCTTTAAATATGTTCTTGGCCCATAGATGGCGCCACTGTTTTTATATTCTTCTATAACTGTGCACTCCAATAAAACTTTACTTGTGTTCCAAACTCCCAACAGGTATGTTGTGTATTATTTATTCTCATGCATGCAAGTAACCACTCTCTGCTATATTGAGTTTCTAATACAATAGCGTAGTTTCTTTTAGTTCTCACGTTTCGTAAAAGCCAAATAAACAATTATTGAATGCAGTTACCTTCACATATAAGATGCAAGTAACTTTTTTGAGACTAAATTTAGGAAAAAAAGTGCGTCTTATATGCCGTCAAATACAATAATGGTGTATTTCAAGCCGAGGCCCTGGCTATTACAGCAGCAATTCAGCACATCATTAATTGTCAAAAAATGTACTGCAACTCTTTTTAAAGATAGCATATCAAATCTATATGCAATAGAAAATCCAAATCATACTTCACCGCTTATAATAAATCTGCAAGAAACTCTACAACACTATTCACAATCTCGTATTAATATGATATGGATTAAAGCACATGTTGTCAATACTGCTAATGAGGCAGCAGATCTATTTGCCAAAGCTGCTGCTAACAACGATAATGCACAGGAAATTACAATTGCTCCTCCTTCATATTTAAAAATAGCTCTAAAAACAAAGGCTCTGCGACAATAGCAACGAGAATGGATCCAAGGCAAGATGGGCAGGCGTACATATGATCTTTTACCAAAAGTTATAGCAGAATGACTTATAGCTACAGCACCACTCACCAATTTTATCACATGGCATGGCTCGTTTCCATCACACTTCTATAAACATGGAATTTCAACAACAGATTTATGTGTCTGTGGACCAAATGGTATGCCTGACCACTACTATTTGCTTGTCTTATTACAGCAAACTTTCATCTACCACCGCCACCTAATAATAGGAAAGTTTACCGCCACTTCTTAATAAAGAATAAAGCTATTGTAAATAAAATTTGTAAAATAATCAACACAATAGCAGCACTTGGACAAGATCTCTGCCAACCACAATCATGACAATTGCAATACACAATCAATCATTAGTATACACACATCTGTATTTATTTTTGTTTACCTATATGTTTAATTGTATGTGTATTATTTATATGTATTTATGTACATATATAAGGATGTCTATCATCATCTGAACGCATGTCAAAAATATTAGCAATGTATAACGAATATGTCAAAAGAGCCCTTTGTATGGCAATGTATGAATTTCTTTTAAAACTAAACTCTCGATTCCGCTCTGGAGGACGCGGGGCACATGCCTGTTTACCTATGTTATACATCAGGCATCCCCGTCCTCTGTCACCTACCTACCTATATATCTGTTAGAAATTAATGTATATCTGGAAAATAAAAATTTATTCACTTGCATTTAAAAATAGAATTCATAAAATAGAATTCATAAAATACATAAAAAAAATTATACATGCAAGTATTGCAAGCTGAACTTTGCAATACTTGCATGTGTATGCTAATTAAATACTTAAATAATCATCACATTGTATGGGAAGATGATTTTGCTTTTCTTACCTATTGGCGGTACTTTCTTGGATGGAAGAGGCTTGCTGCTGTCTTTGCTTCCATTCTCAAAACTCCGGCGAATATCACTAACACTAAAACTGGCTTTTGATCCAAAGGATGGCCTCGACCAGTCTGTTGTGGGTTGGGATTTTGTAGACTGTTTGGGCTGCAGACTATAGGGGAAAAAAAAAATCCAGTCAATGGGAACTTTCACTTTTAGTGATATAAATTAGTCTCATTACATTTTTAGAATAAAACTTGTCATTTCTATGAAAAGTTATAACATACAATATTAATCACATTTTTCCTTTAATACTAGTAATGAAATGTCATTTGTTACTTTTATAATACATTTTCAAAGAAAAGTAAATGTAAAAAATTGGAATTTTGCATTTCATGTCACTGTAGCAATATATTAAAATAATTTATTACAGATGATTTATCTTCAGTGAGTTAAATTCAGAAATAATCAATATAAATAAATAAATGTGCTGAGTGTGCTACCATTACAGAACGAAAGCATGTGGAATGGAAGGGGGAAATACCTTATATACTCCCCCTTTTAAACCCAAACACCAAATCCTGGTGGTGACAAATTATCATCCATCACCTTTTAATTTCGCTGCCAACAGAGTCATGAGGTTATTTTGAAACAGGAGACAGGAAAAATGTACAATGCCTTTGCTGGGGCCTGAACCTCTCGAATATACGCCAAGTGTGCTAACGTTACACTACGAAGGCATGGTGGAAGAAGGGAGAAAATATCTAATACTACCATATGAAATACTAGTCATTTTATCTCCATTTATCAAAATGAAAATATTAATGCGAAAATTGATCACTAATATTATTTTCTATAGGCTTCTCATAGATATTGAAGAATACTAAAACTCTAAATACTGGACTGTATTTGTGAAAGATAATCATTTTTGAGTTGAAACATTTCACATTTTTCATCTTGTTTATGATATATACTTAAATAATACAGTCCTGAAAGATTTGCATATATTAAAAAAAATCATTTAAAGACCTTTAAATACTAAAGTGCTGTAAAATTAAAAATAAATGATTCTGCTTACCTCGTTGAAAGCATATTAAAACTCGAAGCTGGTGAGTCTACAGATTCTGAAATATCTGAGTCAGGAACCAACGGTGGAGATTCAAATCTGTCTTCTTCTTTGAGAGTTGTTTTGCTAGAACTGCTACTGCTGCTCGTGCTGTCCCGTCTGCCCGTTGGTTCAACATGACAGACCTATAACATCAGAGCATTCAGTATCACTTGGTGAATCAAATTATTAAAATTGATTTTGGAAACTAAACACTAATTGCTAAATAGGGATGAATTAATTTTTTAAAAAATTCAAAGATAACTTTGAAATAGTGAATATTAATAAATAATCAACCTTCATGAAATAATAAATTTTCACGAAATTTGATTCTACTCTCTTACTCTATGTATTTTAAAACAGTGTTTCTGAACTTTTTACTTTTTGTGTATTTGCAAATGGCATATTTCTTTTCAAATAGATAAAACTTAAGTTATAAAACATAACAGTAAGACTAAAATAAAATATTGTTGTGTACTATGCAGAGCTTAAATTGTGCCGAAATGCCCACCAGAGCCCGGCTCCAGCAGTTCCAAGTTTCAAGGATAATTCATAATTCTAACGGGAGCGCACTGGAGCCCTAAATAAGATGGCTACAGCACTTTTTTTATGTAAATGACAATTAACAATTTCAGTAGAAGTTTAATCTCAAAAATTTTATTTTTAGGAATTAAATTATATTAAAAAATTGCTTATTAAATTATTTATCTCTTTGCATTTTATTCAATTTTTATTTTAATTATTTAATCACTTTAGCTATTAACTATTAATGATTTTATTTATTTATTTATTCTTGTTCCTCTTTCCAGAAGGTCTTCTACAGGGCTCTGGTACTTCTAATTTTACAAATTAAGCCCTGATGGATTTATGGTTGTCTCTTTTATAACCACTCTGGATGAGTAAGAAATTAAATACTTATTACAAATAATAATATACATCAAAATATACTGTTGTAAATAGTTCAAGAAAGCGGTGAATATTAAGTTAATTCCTCTAAGTGCATGAGAGATCGTTAATTCCTGATATCAGTCATACAGCAAATTCCAAACTACAATTCAGTTAACTCTCTCTTTAAACAGAAAAATCTCAGAACTTACCAAGAACTTATTGCATGAATATGAATGCACACAAGTTCAATGATAGGTTGATAAAATTTATTTCACCAGAAACACTTCTGGAACTTCCCACAAAAATACTCGTACAGGTGTACAAAGTATCGCAGAGTACAACCAGTAGTTACACTTCAAACTACTAAGAACATTAAACAAACAATGCAATACAAAATGCGAAACTCTGACCTAACAATAGCAACTGAAGACCTGATGCTTAGTCTTGTATAGTTTTCTCCCGGCCACTGACAGATTTCCAGCTCTTTCTCTGCTTCTCAAAATTGCCGGAAGGCATATGAGAGTCAGATACCATATAAAATCCATCAGTTACTCAATTACAATACCTATTACGGTAATACAAGGATCGGACAAAATGTCACCAAAATTATTGCCAGCTTATCGATATTTTGCCAAATTAGGTAGATAGCCATTTACTCAATGTTACTGCCGCTTTATTATCATTTTTACGGCAGAGCACCTATTCTCTCAGTTTTTCATATTACATTATACAGAAAAGTAATAGTAATGTTTAAAGCTTCACTAAAATTATCTATCTATGTACAAAATTCGTAGCAAGCTGATTCCTGCATCAGTCACAGATGGCTGAGTAGGGAGAGCTGATTGCTGCATCAATAATGGAAGGATTTTGTTTACAGATGAAGTTGATTCCTGAAACTTCTTTAATAATTGAATTTCTTTCTTGAGTCTGTCAATGACTGTAGAAGTTTGTCCGATGATTTCTGGTTTATAATCTATAATTATTTTTCAAAATTTTCTTCTGTGGCAGTTTTCTCATTCACAGCATTTGCAATTTCCTCTTTAACAGAGGCAATGATTTCTTTTATTCGAGCAGCAGTTGCTGCTATCATGTTCTTCATTTCTGTCCTCACCTCAGTGGCATTTGTTACAATGCAAGTCTCATCTCGGAGAGAGCCAAAAACGGACGCACTCTCCTTCACTTCAGTGCCATTCACTGCTGCCACCTTTAACTCATTAACTGCATCAATCATATTCTTCATTTTGACGGACTTTGCGGCAATCAAAAGCTATCATGGAAAATATCAAGAATGAAAAAAATAATTATAATTTAGTTAATGTTCTAAAATTCTGTTCCTATTTAGCAGGCTTATTACTGATTACAATGGAAATACATGTATCATAATGTAACTAGAAAGAATATTCATCACATCTATTAAACTAAATGTTTAGATTTCTGTATCTTAACCTTTTCATACGAGACTTGTTGAATTTCCTCATTAACAAGGATTAAGTTTAAAAGCAAAACAAAAGGCAAAACCAGAGATTTTAACACATTAAAGGCGGGAGTCGTAGTACTACGATTTATCTTGACTGTAGCTTAAAGGCGAGAGTCTTAGTAATACGATTTGTCTTGACTGTAGCTAGTGCATTGCACAATCCATGCACCACTTTACATTTGTATTTAGTATGTTTCGTGGTTTGAAGCTGTTCGGTTGTTCAAATTCTACTTACAGTAAATTTTGAAATCCTTCAGTATGGTTTCACGTGAAAATAAAGATATATATGCAGATGATTTGATGGACATTGAGGAGCCACAACCTGGTACATCAAACTCAGCACCACGGACTCCACGATATAAAACTGATTCGCCTAGACGTCTTTCGCTAGACATCAAAAAGTACAAATTAATTCGGATAGAAAATAAAGGCAAAAAGCTATATGCCCAACGAAACTGCATAGTTTACGCAGCACATAAAAAAAGGAAAGTTGACTTGCTTCAAATGTGAGTTTTGCAATGCACCTCTTCACTGTGGCGAGTGTTATCAACATTATCACACTCATAAAAATTACTAGATTCTTCTCATCATCTTTATTACTTTAAAACATTTTTTGTAATTAGTGTTAAGTTCTTTTTAATATTGCTTGCAGTTTTAAGAGTTTAAATAAATTTTTTAAGTCTAAATTTTTTTATAATTACATAAAATATCGCCCGCTCTAGGACGAAAAATGAGGCGAAGTGGTCGCCACGTTACATAGAATACTTTCGTCAAGATCCCCGCCTTTAATGTGATAATAAACAGATAATTTTATGAAATTTTCTCTGTTACTGTAAAGAATAAAATATGCTTCCAACATTACACTTATGTACCTTGGTACAGAATAACTGTTTAAATCCCACCTGGCAATGTTGCTTTGTTTTTTTCGATTCCATTCTTTTTAATTTTTTGCGTTTTTAGGAGCTCTAAAACGAAGTAATAAAGATACTAGCTCATTTTCAAAGATTTTAGTGCAAAGTTCGAAAGAAGTACAACGAAAAGGTAGAAAGAAACACTAAATCACCTCATCAGTTTGTTGAGACCACCCATCGTTAGCAGGGATGATGATTTTTGAGGACGTGGAACGTACTCCAGCCCATTCTCCATCCAGCAAGGAATGGTGAGACTCTTTTGAAGAATGTGTGGATGAGGATGAAGTTTTCTTCTCCAAGGGTGGCATTTCGTGGCATCAGAGATGGCGGTAGGCTGCTTCTACTGCAAATGAAAGAAAAATTGATAAAAATATAAAATGGAATTGGATGCTCAGATTTTTACATATTATAGCGTATTGCTTTCATACTGAATCCTAATTAAAATTCAAAAACTAATTTTTCTTTGACATGAAAACTCGTCGGCAAATTATGATGAAATTTAAAATACAATATTGAATCTGTATTTTATTATTTGAAAAGTGGAAATTTTCAAATTTGGAAAAAATATTTTGTACAATCATTTCACCAATTTCTTTTAAAGATGCACTTTCACAATTTTGTGACACTTTACTTTTATAATTCTTTTTTTTCTTTTTCTCGCGAATTAAGGTAATAAATATGCACACTTTTTAAACCAACTATTTTTAAGCAAAACTATATGCAGGTAGACGTCTTTTATTGTGATTTATTGCATTGTGTTCACTTTGTTACAAATCGAAGATACATAAAATCATCTGTTGGCATCACTTTGCCAATCTTTTTGCCTTACTCTGGTAATTTTCGTAATAATTCGTAAATTTTTGCAACGTAATTATATCGCAGATCTGTAGAATCGTCTGTTAGCATCACTTTGCCAATCTCATTTTCCCTCTTTTGGCGTTATTACATTCTGTTAACTTTGATAATATTTAAAACTTTCACTCCATAATCGGATGATAGCACGTTTACAATTTTTTACGTTTTCTGTGATAATACCGCATACTGATTATTCAACACTTCAAAAGTCTATTATTTCATTTTTGTTATTTAATCTGCGCGGCTACTTTCTGTTTTTAATAAATTATTTAATTTTATTCTTAAAACTGTCTGACGATTTTCTACGTATACTATTATAGTTGTTTCTGCAAATTTTATACATTAAATGCATAAATAATGTTAATCTGTGAACATATTTTAAATCTTTCCCTGCTCTTTTATGAAAGCTATGCTCTTAGTAATTAGTAATCTTAAAATTACATCTAAATATTCGAAGTGCCGCAGTTTTTTCTTCTTTTATATCAAAAGGTGGAAATAATTGTGCTTAGAGAGAGAGAGAATTATGTCAAAAAATACAGATATCATAACCCAGAGACGCATGAATACAAAGGTAAGATTCTTGAAGGAATTTTAAAATGTTAGTTTAACAAATACACATGAGAAATCGAAGGTGCCTTGCTGCTTTTACAGATTAAAATGTATAAACATAACTTTTATACATACTAGAAAAAAAGAATTTTATGAGACTTATTGAGATACTCAATTCACTGCAGTCTATTGGAACCTGTGTACGAAGTCGTGGTATCTCAAGCTATGCGTAACTTTAGCGGAGCCTCAAACCACGATCAAATAAAAACAGTAATGCTGTCACCCAACAACAGAAAAGTTTATCATGAGATAAATAATAGAAATCTAAATGTAGAATAAATTTTGTGACCATTAGAACAGACGTAATTTCAAAATCTCTGATGTAAAACCATACTTTTCACTGGGAAAATACTAGCCTGAATCTTGAATTCGAAATATGCCCCAGAAAGGTCTTAAATTTGGTGCTCCCCGTTTCTCTTTCCTATCTCCCCCCAGATGAAAAAAGATTCTACAAGTGTAGGGGAGGGGATATCAGAGACAAAGGATATAAGCTACATTAAGTTTGCCGTCCAACAATCGGGTATCCAGCCTGTTCATAATATGCAATCTGTCATTAAAGCTTCGAGATATGAGGCTTAACATTAACCCTTTGCGACACAGTGTGTCCGGTCTAGAACATCTAAAATTTTCCTTCTGTACTCACAGAAAAATTGAGTGAAAAAGGATTTATAGGTTACTCTGAACCTTCTTCATTTATAGTAGATGGCAGTATATAGTAGATCTGAAGAGGTATGCAGACAGGTCGTAAAACTACCGAAGACAGTTTCAATACATATAACGGAAAACAATCATGTTTACCCCCCCCCCCCAATATTAAGTGAATAGAAATTGAGCCATCTTTACCCTTTGATCACTGTGCTTGTGTTAGTAGTGGTAAGTATTGCAGCTGCTATGGTGTTCGTTCTCAGTTCTTTCTTGACGCCCATTGGACCGACCGTGGGGGGTGGAGGAGGAGAAGTCACATCCGATCTCTGTTCCCATTTCTTGGCTAATGCTTTGAATTTTTGCACACTTCCGGAAGGCTCCGTGGCTGCTTTAAGAACAGTCTTCTGTTGGCTCAAGCGCCGTGGTCGTAAATCGAGATTTACGTTCCTCTCTGCAGTATTCGAACCTTCTGACTCTCTGTGCACGCCAGAAGCACTTTTGCTAGATTCATTTTTCTCGGTTTTCACATAACTCCTGAAAAGTTTAACATTTTATTTATACAAATTATAATTTAATTGACTTTATGAAAAGTAGGATATGAACATTTTACTTCACAATAAGCACTGTGAACAAAAACAAAAATCAAGAATTACGGAAGCAAAAATCAAGGTACATTGCAGAAGGTAATATTTCGCTTACTTTAAATCGAAAATATATCGGATATATGCAGTACCTACTTTGCTTTTTTGCAGATGCATTTCAAAATATTTATACTTAAGAGATATATTATTAGAGATATACTAATTATTAAGAGATATATTAATATTTATACTCAGAGTTATATTTGTCATGAAAATGAACACAATTTTAAAAATAAACCTACCTTTTAACAGCGCACCCAATCTCGCGTACGCATTGATTTCAGATTGCGTAAGTTTATATAGTTCTATATTTCTTAAGACGCCATTGAAATACTAGTTTAATTTTTAAAGCCTTTTTTGATTTTAAATCCTTTTTTGATATCCTATGGATTTAACAATTTGGGAATTGCCCATGACGAAAAGTCGGCAATAGAATTTTGGGTAAAGTGCAGAATCACCCACTGCTTCACGCGTTTTTAAGAATTGCACATACTCGGTATTCATGTACACATCGACCTATTTTCAGTTAAAAAAAAAAAAATCCCATTGCACAAAAATGGCACTGCACACCCCTATGACTTTATCTATGTACACATCGACTGTATTTTCATTTAAAAAGTAAAAGAAAATTGACAAAAATCCAATTGTTTTTACCCTTGTAAAAAGCGGCAAACAAATAAGTGAGCGATTTTGTACTTTACCGAGAATTTTTCAAAGAAAAAGGCATCATTCATTATAGAAAATTACGTTTGAACAACCAACAAGATGAAATTATGCTTTAGCGATAAGTCGGTTAGCGAAATAGCGCTATGCAGGCATCCATTCAGTTATATAGATTTAGCAATTTTTATATAAATTATAATAATGATTCTGAAATAGTTATTTACTCTTATGCTTCCATTCAGTCGTATTTAGCCTTTTTCATATAAATTATAATAATAAAAAAGTATTATATGAAATTAACCTTTCATCTAAATTAAAACATCAACCTTAGATAGTTATTTACTATTATACTTCCTTTTTTGCCGCAATGATTAAGGTTGCCGCAATTATTTTTGGCAGCATTGGCATCAACAATAGTTTGGCGATTTTTTACGGCCCTCGAAACCGAATAGTACCCAATAATCATTACGTTTTCACATTACACCTATGATATCTGAAATCCGTTTTAAATGAGGACAGAACACAGATCTCATAAAATACACTGAAGTGACAAAAGTCATGGGATACCTCCTAATATTTTGTCGGTCCTCCTTTTGCCCGGCGAAGTGCAGCAACTCGACGTGGCATGGACTCAACAAGTCGTTGGAAGTTCCCTGCAGGAATATTGAGCCATGCTGCCTCTATAGACGTCCATAATTGTGAAAGTGTTGACTGTGCAGGGTTTTGGGCACGAACTCACCTCTCGATGATGTCCCATAAATGTTCGTCGGGATTCATGTCTGGCGATCTAGGTGGCCAGCTCATTCGCTGGAATTGTCTTCTAACCAATCGCGAACAACTGTGGCCCGGTGACACGCATTGTCATCCACAAAAATTCCATCGTTGTTTGAGTACCTGAAGTCCATGAATAGCTGTAAGTGATCTCCAAGTAGCTGAAGGTATCCATTTCCAGTCAATGATCGGTTCAGTTGCACCAGAGGACCGAGTTTATGCCATGTAAAAACAGCCCAGACCATTATGGAACCACCACCAGCTTGAACAGTGTCTTGTTGACAACTTGGGTCCATGGCTTCGTGGGGTCTGCGCCACACTCGAACCCTACCATCAGCTCTTACCAACTGAAATCGTGACTCATCTGACCAAGCCACGGTTTTTCATTCGTTTAGGGACCAACCGATATGCTCACGAGCCCACAAGAGTCGCTGCAGGCGATGTCGTGCTGTCAGTAAAGGCACTCGAGTCGGTCTTCTGCTGGCAAAGCCCAAGGAAGACAAATTTCGCCGCACTGTCCTATCGGACACGTCCCTCGTACGTCCTACATTGATTTCTGCGGTTATTCGACGCAGTGTCGCTTGTCTGTGAACATTGACAACTCTACGCAGACGTCGCTGGTCTCGGTCGTTAAGTGCAGGTGGTCGGCCACTGCGCTGTCCATGGTGGGATGTTATGCCTGAAATTAGATACTCTCGGCAAACTCTTGACACTGTGGATCTCGGAATGTTGAATTCCCTAACGATATCCGAAATGGAATGACCCATGCGTCTAGCTCCAACTACCATTCCGCGTTCAAAGTCTGTTAATTCTCGTCGTGCGGCCATAATCACGTCAAAGCCTCTTCACATGAATAACGTGAACACAAATGAAAGCACTGTCGAAGCACTTCGCATTTATACATTTTCTACGCGATACTACTGCCATCTGTACATTTTCATATTGCTATACCATGACTTTTGTCACTTCAGTGTACATTGATTGCTCCTTAACAATATAGTTAGTTAACTAATTAAATCAAAGGAATAGAAACCATTTGCATGCATTTTTATGGAACAGGTTGTAAGGTTTATTGTAAGTTCAAGTATTGTAAGTTGTAAGGTTATTTGAGTTCAAGCCCTAGTGGAGGCTTTGCTGTATGCCCTGAGAAAGGGGCCATCTGTGAAACTCTTATTTTAAACAATAAAGCGCAATTAACCCTTCTCGAGTTTACGTCTCTGTTCCTGTACTATGAAGCGATTATTCGCTAGCTGTTCATTAGGTTCTTCCACATTTAGTTGTTAGATAAAAGGGTGGAACTCCACAAGGTGAAAATTTTTAAGCACAGTATAGTTCAACGCCATTGAAAAGGGTAAAACTTGGCGGAAGACAAAATTTTGAAAGATGTACTGGATACCTGCACTTCTCCAAATGTTGTATTACTTAAAATTTGCTAAACATATTCTAGCGCAACTAGAGCACGCCAGTTTAAAGTTATGTACGGTATTTGATACGAATCCCAAAAATTTGTTACCAGTATCATAAACAACAGTGAATTATCGTCGTTAGTAAAAACATTATTTCTGGTTTTCGAAAACATTCTAAATATATCTATGCCTATAAATACTAAACTTCTGTTATTAGATTATAAACTTTGCTACATAGAATTCAATTTAAATAACAGGAAAATTTGAATAAAAATTTTTGTTATTTAATAGTGATGGGAAATAATTGAAACTTAGGTGATAACTGACAACACGAATTTTTAGTGAAATTAACAAGATTGCATCAAGATTTTACGGAGATTTTTGTAAGGTATTTTCTCCCTCCTCCCAGCATGCCTTTGTGGTGTAACGGTAGCACACTCGCTCCGTCCTACAGTGGCGCCCGAACTTAAGGTGGTGAATGGCAATTCGTCACCACCGAAATTAGAAGACTGGGTCTCCACATCTCCAAGTTGCCCTTTTAAAGGGAGTATAATAAGGTATTTTCTCACTTCTTTACGTATGCGTATATTTTGGGCGTAACTGGAAGCACACCCGACGCATATTCGAGATCCAGGGTTCGAGTCCCGGCGAGGGACGTATTTCCACATCTTCTGCTTCTAAAAATAACCTAATGCTTCTACAGTAGTATGAAGCTTGATAAAAAGTAGTACGACCGTTCTAGTTCAGCTTAATAAAAGTTACCGTTTATGTATTTTGTTACATCTAAATATTTATATTTAAAACTAGGCAAAAATTAAATTCGGTACTTTTCCGTTTTTCCGGCGCAGGCGATAAAGTCGCCAATAATGGTACAACTGATGCCAAACGGAATATCCTCGCTGGTAACCTTTTACGCTTCATTTTCAAAACAAGACGCTGCCATTTCTTATCAGATTGATTGTCTCTTTCAATACTGGCATACAATTACATAGAATTTTTACAAGATAGTTCAACTTTATGCCCTAAGGCCTTTCGCGGTCATTAAGTCAATTAGGATGAAATCACATCGCTCACCCGAAGGCGAAAATATAGAAAAGGCAAAGGGTTGAATTCATCCATTTCTAATGAGAATGCACTAAAGAAGTAAAGTCCGGCCGTTTTACATAACTCTGAGTCAGATATTCGTACGAATTCAAATAATTCTTGCACTTAAACTTGTATTCCAAACTAAGATTTAACTTGAAATTAATGTAAATAATTGCTGAGAGAATTAGATTTTTGTAGTGTAATTTACGTGGGATGAGATCACTTGGGGTCACGTGATACGACCCGGCGATTCAGGATGTTGAACCATGAAAGCATAGTAAATTATTAAATTAATGTCTTTTTACAAATTTATTGTCTTTATTTATTGGGTACTTTTCCGTTTTGCCGGCGCAAGCGATAAAGTCACCAATAATGGTACAACCGATGCCAAACGGAATATTTTCCCTGGTAACCTTTTACGCCTCATTTTCAAAACAAGTCGCAGCTTTTTCTTATCAGATTGATTGTTTCCTTCAATACTGGCATATAATTACATAGAATTTTTATCAGATAGTTCAGTTTTATGTCTAAGGCCATTTTCGGTAATTAAATCAATTAGGATGCAATCGCAGCTCTTACCCGAAGCCGAAAATATAGAACAGGAAAGTCAAGGGTTAAATTCATCAATTCTAATGAGGATGCATTAGTGAAGTAAAGCACTGCAGTTTTACATAATTTCTGAGTAAGCTATTCGTACGCATTGAAATATTTCTTGCATTTAAACTTGTGCTTCAAATTAAGATTTAACTTGAAATTAATGTAAATAATGACTGACAGTGTTAGATTTTTGTAGAGTAGTTTACGTGAGATGAGATCGCTTGGGGTCACGTGATATGAACGGGCGAATCAGGATGTTGAACCATGAAAGCATAGTAAATTCTTAAATTAATGTCTTTTTACAAATTTATTGTCTTTATGTATTGGCTTTTTATAAAGCTTTAAGTGATATTAAAATGTTTATGCCTTCAAAAAAAGAATTCTTAGAACTAAAATTTTTTTCATATTTTTTATGTGTATACTGTATGTTGTCGCCAATAAAGTCTGCTTGGCGAGATTTGCGCCGGCAAAACGGAAAAGTACCATTTATTGGCTTTTTACAAAATTTTAAACGTTATTAAAATGTTTATGCCTTCAAAATAACAAATTCTTAGAACTAACATTTGTTAACATTTTTCGTGTACATACTGTATGTTGTCGCCAATAAAGTCTGCTTGGCGAGATTTGCGCCGGGAAAAGTAACTTAAATTCTTCTTCTTTTCTTTTTCTTCTTTTTTTTTTTTTTAAATCAGGATCAAGTATTTGTCTATGGATTTTTTTAGAGGGTGAGGGGATACATTCAACACGTATTTTTATGTATTCTGTGTTCTGCTATTCGTCGATAGTTAAAATTGACAACTATCTTTAAAATTACAGTTGTTTCAAAGAAGTTTGAAATATTGTTCGAGCTATTTTGCAGAACTAACAATCTTAAAATGGTGTGTTAGTTCCATGGCAAAATGAAAAATATAATCTCGATCGATAAAAACTAATATTACGCCTAAGGAAAAAAAATTGAATGGATGGAGAAATAGGTAAATTACCTGTAATTCGAATCAGGCAGTTGTTCTACCATGAAACCCCTGTTCGAAATCCAATCTGGATCTGGAGATTCAGTAGTTGCATCTGAGAGATATTCTTCGGTAGAATAGGTGATTGATTCTGCCTGGCGGTTAGTAAATCTTCGCAAGGAAACATCAGTTGATGCATCCGATAAGTATCCTTCCGTTGAAGCACAATCTTCATTCAATTTATTTAAATTACATGTCTCGGAGGCAAGCTGAGTTTTTTCGAATGAATCCGTGGTAGCATCAGACAAACAGTCATCTGTAGTCGTGTGCCGAGAATCTTCCGTTCTGTGGCTTAAAGTAGAATGCGAATCGTCGTCTTCACTTTCGTCGCATTCAGAGTTCAGAGACCGTGCCGCAGTCCATATGGTGCTTTCTTCTTTTTTCACATTAGAAGATCCATTGATCGTTGTTTCCTTCGTTTGGGATTCTTTAAAGCTAAGAGGCAATGCACGGAATTTCCCAACTGGAATTTCTAAGTTTTCAGCATTAAATTCTTTATTTTCCAATTCTGTATCTGAATAATTCTGGCATTTCTTTGATGCGCCGTTTCTTGCAGTTCCGTTGCTGATACTAAATTTGTTTAAACTTTCTGTTGTTGTAAAGATATCATTTTTCTTTTCCGCAAAATTTGGCAATCCTTCTGGTAAGTAATTCAGACTTGCTTCAGATAAGTAGCCTTCGTTCAATGGAGCATTATTATTGTCTGATACTGCGTAAGGAGATGGAGTACGGCCATTTTGTTTTTCATTATTTTCAGTTTCTACTTTCAGAGAAAGGTCTTTGGCATTTGCAGAAATTTCAATCTTTGATTCATCATGTTTTAATCGAATTTCGGTCTTAGATACATAAATAGCTGGTGTCGTTTTCGGATGTTCCACATCAGGTAACTTCGACGTCTTTCCAATGCTTTCAACCAAAAGTGGTTGATGAGAGACATTTCTGGCGTTACTCGTAAAGGCATTTGATTTTCCATAAAGTACGACACCGGAGCTGTTCGTCTGAGAATACGGCTGAAACGAAATGAGATAAAAGACACTTAAGAACACTTTCAAACTTGTTTAAAGCAACATCATTAACAATCGCACCTGCAAAATCCTTAACATTTTAGAATGTAAAATAAAATTTAAAAGAAAGAAAAGAAAATCTTAAAGGTTTCAGATTTTAAATTAGTCCAAAGGGGGCTTTTTTTTTAACGTTTTGTTTGTTACATTTATTTATTGAACATCATGTTCTTCGCACTTAAACCACAAAATTTAGTTCAAGAGCAATATCGCAAAATAATTTTAAATTGAGGATATCTTTAGAATTTTCTCACGCGCTGGAGATAAAAATGTTTCTTTCTGTACGACGTTGCCATGGCTCGCTTTAAAATCCTTGAGTTTGTTCATAAAAAATTCGTTAAAGTTTTACAAAATATGAAATCGATAATAAAACAAATTTCGGCTTCCATATGCCCATATTCGCAGTAGGATTACGTCATTCAAAACTCGATGGCTCTATGTACCGCTGTTTTATCACATTGCAAGAAATACACATACATATATGAAGATCTTTCATTATTTAATTTCTTCAAATATAATGCAGTACTCTAACATTGGGTGACAACAGTTTGAAAAGTGAAACGGACATTTATAGTGAACCAACGCAAAATCGAAAACAATAGTCCACGGACAAAGCCCCTTTGGACTAATAAACCTGTCACATGACATGGTCTAGCATCGCGGACGCTATCATTTGTCAGTGACACGAGATTTTAGCGTTCTGCACTGTGTCTGTTGTCAAAGCCTCTTGGTTTCTGGAGGGCTGACGAACCATGATCTTGTTTTTCCTCTGATATCGTTCTAGATATAACGAATCAGAGGATGTAAAATACTACCGAATAATTTTGAAGGCGTGGCTAATTCACTCTGCAACTTGTTTCCATGGGAACAACACGCCACAATGTTCTTGAACTCTGGATTATAGAGGCAGCAGATTCCTCACGTCACGAGAACTATACTTCACTACAGTAACTGTTCTATGCTTTTCATAATTTAATTTTAAATTAGCTTTATATAATAGAGAATATTTGTTCTAATCCAATATATGGAGTCAGAAGTGATACCCACACCATTATTTGACAGAGGTCGTATTAAAACACTGAACTGTAAATGGCAGTATTTGACATAGTGAATAATAAATAAAAGGGAATTATTCATTTGTGATATTTTATTCATGTTATGAATTCTGCCACATCCTAAATATGCCATCTTTCTAACTAGCTGATTAATTTTTATTTTAAAGAAAACTGATAAACGAGATTATTTACTCCCAACGTTAATGAACATGCAAATTCGTAGTTTTGCTTAAGAAGATATTAATAATAAATAAATAAATAAAAATAAAAAAAAAATCTGAAATGTTCAGATTTTAAATTACGTCGAAAGGGGCGTTTTTTAACATTTTGTGTGTTACCTTTCTTTATTAAATATCATGTTCCTCGCACTTAAACCATAAGATCCAGTGCAACAGCAATATCGCAAAATAGTTTTAAAACGAGCCTATCTTTAGAATTTCCGATACAGAGACTCACGCGCTGGAGATAAAAATGTTTTTTCTGCACAACGTTGCCATTGCTCGCTTTGAAAATCCTTGAGTTTGTTAATCAAAAATTCGTCAAAGTTTTTAAAAAATAGGAAATCGATCATAAAACAAATTTCAAATTTCAAATTTGGTCTCTCCACATGCTCATATTCGTTGGAGGATTACGTTATTCAAAATTCGATGACTCTATGTACCGTTGTTGTTTTATCACAATACGAGAAATATACATACATTTATGAGATGCAGATTTTTCATTATTTAATTTCTTCAAATATAATGCAGGACTCTAACATTTTGTGGCAACAGTTTTGAAAAGTGAACCGACATTTATGAGTCCGACGCAAAATGCCAAAACGAAACTAATAGTCCTTCGGGATTCAAATCCCTTTGGACTAATAAAATTATTGTGGTCGCAGAAAAATGAATAAAAATAACACCAGTGAAAGTTATTTTGTTGAATAGAATTTTAATAGAAATTCAAAAGGAAAAATATATGTTTAATTACCAAGGTGTCTTTGGATTCTCGAGGAACATTCCTCATAGGAGAGGCAGAATGCGATGAATCTTCGGAGTTATCGCCTTCGTACTCCACATCTGAGGAGATAGATGGAGGTGACATCAGAGCTTTTTCTGGCTGCAACGGCTGAACTGGTTTGCTGTGTGAAAGTGAAAACTGAAATATGTTTTGCTGCAACGTCGAACTTGCGTTGGAACTGCAGATGCTCGATGGAGATGACGGCGGCGGTGATAAAGGACTGGTAATGGAAGATGGTGGAGTCGGCGACAAAGATGATCCTGGCAGTTCCAAACTTCTCTTTTTGAATGCAGGAGAATACTTTGGCAGAATATTACAATTATTATTATTACTTTCACTCTTCCAAGGAGGTTCTGACAAAGATTTTTGTCGCTGTACAGGTGGGGGGCATTCCAGTTTTTTATTTCTGGGAAGAGACATCGTTTTACACGAAGTTACAACCGTAACTGGAAGTGAGGCTCGCCTTGAATCTTTCAAACCATCTGTATCACTGCTTACAATAGTAGGTAGCTCCTTTGTGCTGTTTGGCTGCATGGGTTTATCAGGAATGACCAGACCTTTTAGCTTTTGCAGCGGCTGCTTTCGATCAATAATAGAGAGTAGGTTAGAGCCCGCCGCTTTTTTGCTCAATAAGTCTTCTGTATTTTTAAGATTTTTGAGGCTATAAAGTCCGTAGTTATACCTTTTATTGTTGGTAAGTTGAGTCTCTGGGTATGTGGAAATAATAGGCTTGGGAGGTTCTACGTCTAGTTTTACAGGAAGAGTAGAATAGCACATATTATCCGTCACAGAATTCGACGCTAAAGATGGTATGCTCAAAGCGGGCTTCATACTGGAATATGGGATTTCTTTATCCGCACATTTCTTGGCAATGCTGTGCATGCTATGCCATTTTGAATCCCGAAGATTATCAAACTTATGATTTTCGGCCGGCGTATGCTCGATTTTCTTATTTTCGACGCTAAGTGTTACAGTTTTGATGTTATTTTCACTACCATAACGCTGAAGATCTCTTTTGCCACTGTTTTGACTCGCCTCCATTTCCGAAAACATAGCTATTCTATCTTTCACACTTACAGATTTTTCATATCGACGTCCTGGTAGAGACCATTTAGCTTCTGCAGCTGTCCTTAAGCATTCTTCACTTTTCCACTTCAGACTAGAAGCTTGTTCGCTATTTCTCCGGTTAGTTCCACTGATTACATCTAGTTTCTTCACGGAAGGGGAAGAACTAAGAGTACGAGCTAGGAAATTCGTCTTAGAGTCATGGGTATAATTCAATTCCTTTTGCTGGTTTACAAGCATCTCTTCGTGAAATGATCGAGTCATGGCAAAATTATTACGCGACTGCTCGCTTTTCTGCAAATTCAAAATATTTTTTGAATTTTCGCTGATAGTACTGGGAGCTATGAGATCTTCATTCGGAGAAGGTTCACCTTCACCGAAATTCGAATCCGCTTCTGAGCTGGAACTTTTACTCAGAGGTATTTTCCTCTGCTTAGGAACTTCAAGGGCTGTAACTTTATTGTTTTTCTGCTGATCAATGAATTTTGATTTTCTTGCGGGAATGGGAGGAGGTTTCTGTCTAGTAGGCACAACTGGAGGGCACGTGACTATTTGCAAAGTTGACGGTAAAGGATCACCATCCAAATCATCTGCAGAATCGATGGACGATGAAGCCAATCCCAAATCATCGCTTTTCTCGGCATCCGAGTCGAGACCTTCGTGTATTGAATATTGTCGCATCTTTGCGGGGTCGTCGGCGAACTTCTGCAAACTATTCTGGAGACGGGCTAAGGCCGATTTCGCCTGGGTCTCGGGAGAGGATGTAAATGGTTCTTCCAGGAACACTCCCGAATCGTCGCAACCGGAAGAATGATGTTTGTTCACAAGTGAATCCTGATCCACTTGGTCAGTTACTTTATCGAATTCCTCTCGGTAAGAGGAAGAGTAGCGAACGTTTTGTTCGTCGCGAAGTAGTTGATGCTTCAGCATTTCGGATGAATGTTCCAGCAAATCTAAAAGAAGAGAAATACATTAATGCATAAGTAATCTGCGGTTTTCATGTGCTATATCTGCTGAATACATAAATATGTAATCAGAGTTTTTTTTCTTTTATATATATATCAAAAAGCATCACTAGTGAGCAAAGTAAAAAATCTCGGGTTGTATTATCAGAGCTTTATTGTAAGTTGGGAAGGTTATATTTCAAACATAAATTAGAAAGGAAAAGAAACTGTTCACGAGAAAGGGGTTTACAAAGTAATAAACGTTTAGTAGTAAGTTTAAAGTAAACACAAAATGCAATTTATTTTGCTTAATATTTCGGAAATGGTAAACATCTGCGACATAATGGCGGGTCAATGAAGGCCTTAGGAACGTCATGCCGATTCCTAACTTCTTAGCTTTTGTGAAGGAAAAGAGGAATTATGAAGAACCATAGGATGACTTTGTCTAAAATCTGAGGAAATAGGCTCAGACATTGTGATAATCAAAGCCTAACTATAATTATAATAATTTGCAGCACGCGACTTCCGTTCGAGTTCCGGCGAATTAAGGGATGAAGAGTAGCTTTACATTTCCGGAACTTAAGAGATTACATATGTAATATTATCTTCCATGTTAATCTTTGGTTCAGTATAACACCAAAATAGGCTACTTGCTTGGACTATGGGATAGCAGTATTATACATACAAATAAAGATGATAGCTCTTCGGTATGAAAACATGACCGTCACGGTGTTTTCGACATTGATCTTTATTTTCAAGCTCTGAAGCCAGGACATGTGCATGATGTAATGACTTGTTTCTAATTATTCACAACTCCTAATGAGAACTTCCTCTCGACCCCTTAACCATGTTGGTTATACTCGAAACAAAGGTAAGCTATTCACGCAGAAAAAGACTTTTATTTTAGAAAAATGAATATTTAATCTCGTTGGAGGATACTTTTTAGGTCATTTATCGGTCCAAATAATTAATTTCTATTGTGAACATATATTTTTAAATTTCCAGGAGATGGCATTTATTTCCGTGCGATAATTTTCCGCATTATAGTTAGAAGCTTTGACAGTTACTTTCTAATGTTTTGCTTACTGAACCGGAAGTCATCTTAATTTAAAATAGAATACAACATGTCAACAGTTTTTAAGTTATTTTCTATCTCCTTTTTTGTACGCCTTCCGTGTTGTAAAGGTTAGCACACTCGGCGCGTATTCGAGAGGTCCGGGTTCGATCACGGCGAGGGCATGTCTCCTCCTTTACAAACATCCTAATGACTCTACAGTGGCGCCCGAACTGAAAAGGTGGTGGATGATGATTCTTCACCACCAGGATTTGGCTACTGGGTCCCCCTAATCTCCAGTTGCTATTTTAAAAGGGAGTATATAAGGTACTTTCTCTCTTCTTTCTGCATGCCTTCGCGGTGTAACGGTAAGCACACTCGGCGTGTATTCGACAGGTCCAGGTTCGAGTCCCGGCGTGGATATTGCTCATTTTTCACCTCTCCAGCTACAAAATTCCTAATGACTTTACAAATTGTTTTTAATTTCAAAGTTCTGGCACACTTACCAAGTGCAACTGTGTCCGATTCTTGGACATCTCGGTCGGGTGGAGAGACTTGAGTTGAGCCGGCTGTCGGGGCATCGGGGGTCCCGGGGCACAACGGGTTCCTCTCGTCCACAGGCACTGGACCCTCACTCACAGGCAACGTCGTCTCTTCGGTTGTCTGCAGTGCACACGAATCCTCGCCCACTAGAAACAAAGAAAGGTTGGTTTTAAAACAATCAGATCATGTCCTAAAACTTACACAAAACGTAGCATTATAACTCAAATCAAGGCAAAGTTCAATCTTGAATTGACTTTAATCTATTCCGGGATCCAACATTAAAGTTTGCCTCAATTTTAGATCCCAGTGTATCTTTTTGTAATCTTTATGCCCGAAGAAAATAGAAATTGCGATTTGAATTGGCGGTTCATGCCAATAATAACTTATATCGGAAAAATATCGCTTTGCGATTTTTCAAAAATTTCTCCCAATTGCAGAATCTGAACATATTTATTGTAAACAAATATACGCCTTAAATAAAATGGCCCCGCATTACGACGATCCGGTATTCTGAACGTGTTTTACCAAACACAAGGGAAGCTTGGGTATGACGGTCTCACATTCATGAGCGTGTCATGTTGCAATTGTTTTTCAAGATAGACAGTATTAAATATCACAATTTAGATAAAATAATATTCCATTTTTACTTCCTTGTACGAAGTAAAGGAAGTATGTAATCACGAAAAATTCCGGGTCATTCCATCGAAAATATCAATTTTGGCAGCTATGGAATGTATTTCAGCGATGTTTATGTGCGATATCTGTACGTAAGGACACAATAAAGGATTCTTTTTCCACAGACGAATTATAAAACTGATTTAAAATGGATTGAGAAGAGATTTTTTTCGTGGCGTCTTTACGTACGTATGAATATATCTCGCATAACTTGAAACGCCACAGAACGTTGAAATTTCTATATCTTTTCAATTTTTAATGAAGATATTATAAGTTTTTATATATTTTTACCTTGCCACGAAGTGAGAACTGAATTAATTGAATGAGAAATATACTTCTAATGAAATTCTAGGAAATGCGTTTAAATGAAATGCAGGAAAAAAATGTGTGTAATAAAATATTCTGTACAAGGAAGCCATGTGTGTACACATGAGATTTTAAATTTTTAAATGGTAACGTACCTTAGACCTCTCATACTTATCAATATGGTTCACAGAAGGACATTTTGAGAAATAAAAATTACCTTACATTCCATCCCATGCAGTATCTGCAGTTGTTTACAAAAAATTATTAGTTTTTTTTTTTTTTTTAAATGTCAGAGCAATAAATAGAATAGTTCTTAACAGGGCTTACATCAAGTTAGCTGTAGTGTTTATAGTAGAAATCAATAAATTAGATTCTATAAATAACTTCATATTACAGCACACTTTTTTTTATAAAGAGAAAAAATAAATTTCTCATTTAGTAACCGGTTCAATAATATCCCCTCCACCCCATTACGAGAGAACAATATAATATTGCGAAGAATAGGACACACATTATTTTGTGTCGTAATACGAAATTATAGAAAAGTGAAACAATTTGTGATTTTTGCTATTTCCTGAAGTGCAGAAAGAAAAATTTATGCGCAAATAACAAAGGAGAAATTAGATGGAAGATCAGATTATTGGACCGTGAAATTGGGGTTACTTTAATTACAACAGCAATTTTTTAAGAAACTAGTTTATATACAGGAAATACGTAGTGGGAGAAAACAGATGTCACACACGTGTTCTCTATGCCTTCTAAGATGAAAATCTGTCATATTTCATATTAAACTCGCTGGTTCCTAAACAAGATGATATTGTATGCAAAATTATGGTATACGAAACAGGTCCCGAAGCTCTAAACACAACATTCCATGTCCTTTATCACGTAGAAATCATACAAAGATAGTTTCCACATTCGGATATAGAGAATTTGTGTATGCAAAAGCATTATCGAGTTCATAAAATGAGCAGCTACAAATCGTTGCTATTGAAGAAACCGTGTGTTAAAAGTTATCGACCATGTAATACATACAAGTGTTAGCAAGTATTAATTATGCATACGTCCTGAATTCTTTTTAAATATAAAACCTAATCAAATATTGTTACTCCTTAATATATTCCTTTTAAAAGGACGACTGGGGATGAGGAGACCCAATCGATAAATCCTAGTGGTGACGACGAGCGCCATTTGTAGAGTCATTATTTTTTTTTTTTTTAGCCCAAAGGGCCAATTTGCCAAGATGGGCTGTTAATTTCGTTTTGACATTTTGCGTTGATTCGCATTAAACGGTGAATCACTTTTTAAATTGTTGCCACCAAATATTAGAGCCCTGTGTTATATTTAAAGAAACTACATAATGAAGAATCTGCATAAAGGTATGTACGTTTCTCGCGTTGTGATAAAACAACGGTACACCTAGAGTTATCCAATTATGAATAACGTACGTCTCCACCCGAATATGGGCATCTGGAAGTCCGAATTTGGAATTTGCTTTATAATCTCTTTCATATTTTTGTAAAGCAATTATGAGTTTTTGATTAAGAAATTCAACGATTTCAAAGCCAGCCATGGCAACACTCTGCGGAGGGGGGGGAATTATATTCAGCACGCGAGACTGTGTATCGGAAATTCTAAAGATAGGCGCATTTTAAAATGATTTTATCTCGAACCTTGATGAATGACTCGAACCTTGGACCTTTCGAATAAACGTCGTGTATACGCTTCCAATTATACTACGAAGGCATACAAAAAGGAAAGAGAAAATACTTTACAAAGTTACTCCTTTCCGCTTTATTTTATTTAATTGACTAATAGCATATTTTATTAATTTAAAAAAAAATCAATTTGGGTAAAGATAGTACGTGAAAGAAAGGTAAGGCATATAAGACATATATACCCAGTTTTGACCGAAGTATACCTTTCAGGACTTCATACTCCACTTAGTTTGTAGAGACAATAGGATTTTTTAGAAGCAAGCGAGATGAAAAATTAACAACCGCCTTCGCCGGGAATCGAACCACGGACCTCTGGAATACCGGCCCAGCGTGCAGAACCACTACACCACGAAGGACGCTAGGAACTAAGTGGGAGAAATACCTTATATACTCCCCTTTTTAAAGGGCTACTAGGGTTTCATGGGACCTAGTCGCCAAAACCTGGGTGTGGAGAATCATCATCCACAACCCTTTTAGTTCGGGTGCCACTTGTAGAGTCGTTAGGTTAATTGGAAGCATATAAGATGAAAAATATGCAACCGCCTTCGCCGGGAATCGAATCACGGACCTCTGGAATATCGGCACAGCGTGCAGAACCACTACACCACGAAGGACGCTTGGAAAGCGGGAGAAATACCTTATAAGTTTGTCATCAGTCATTTAAAATAAATTTTGAAGTCCATAGATCTTGTGCCCCTTCACTGCGAGGAGAGACGGCTATCACAAATACGTAAACTTTATCCTTAATTCAAAAATCAGGTTGCATTAGCTGAATTCGCTAAGGAAGATGGAGGATATAAATGGAAAAAAGAAAGCTATGGAGGGGAGGTGGAAAAAGAAAACTGATATCTCAAGCTTGTCTCACAGATCGAAATCAGTTAGTCACGCAGCCTGTAGAATAGTTTCGTGTGCAGGATATGGGGTCTGCAGGAAAAGTTGCGAATACAGCGGCGCTGCCGATCGTGCGCTGGGCCCACCACTAAAGTAGAAAAATCTCACAGTAATTATTTTTTTAAGAGGCTGCATAACTATGAGCTTCAACGTAACTACCCCAAGCAGATATCCCTTTTACAGCGGTCTGAGGTGAACAGGTGTGACGTTTCATACACTATTTGCACAAATTTCTCACACCAACGTTCAGTTGATGCGTTTTGAGACACACTTGCATAGTCTATTCTGTTTGTAAAGACATTTAGTGGAAGGATGCACCCCGCGGGGTTTGAACCGCAGTCCTCTCGATTGTGAATTACTAGTCGTGAAGCAGGCTCGTTTTTCGTCCGAGAGATAATCTTTTTTGGTTCCGCTGGAATGTTTCGAAGTAACGGTTTCGGAAATCGCGAAAAAACAAATGTTGCGTTTTCAGCGTTCTATTTTTAATATTCATAGCCAAGAGATGTCTTTTCGAAATAAACCGATACGCTCTACAAATTTGTAATTCACTTTTTTTCCTACTATCTCGTACCGCTTTCGAGACAGGAAAGCTAACTTCGCCGTTTTCCAACAGGTGGCGCTGTACGCAGTCTCATCCAGCAGTGCAAAGCCACTTTACTATACGTAGAAAACATTTTTATGACTATATAGCTGCAACCGTTCGGCAATTAAACGGGTGGGTGGTACTGGACCCTTTAACTTATACATTAAAAGAGAGAACGTATTTGCTTCGTTTCTTGAACTCGTCCGTTCGTAATTGAATGTTTCAGTTCAAGATGTGATATGTACAGCAATCAATGAACTTTCTTATATACTTAACATATTAAGTATATAAAAAATATACTTAACATATTAAGTATATAAGAAATATACTTAACATATTAAGTTCATCTATTTGAAGGGGCTTTATATGCAGTCCACGCTTTTCACATGTGACACTTTCAAAGATGCAGGATTATCATACAATTTTCCGTTCAGTAAACCAATAGAAGTAATTTTATGATTATTATCTCCACAAATAATTAAACATTCCAAAACATCGCATATTATTATTACAATAATAATTATGTAATATGGTAACTTTTTGTTCAGCGAAACTTGAAATCTTAAGTTAATCAAATACTCCAAAATACCGTGTATTTACGTTTAATTGCTACGTAAAGATTTCTGGAGAGTTCGAAAATTAGTTTTAATTTCTACGTGAAGATTTCGGGAGAGTTGGAAAATTATTTTAGTTTAATTGCTAAGTGAAGATTCCTGAAGAGTTGCAAAATTATTTTAGTTTAATTGCTACGTGAAGATTTCTGGAGAGTTGGAAAATTATTTTAGTTTAATTGCTACGTGAAGATTTCTGGAGAGTTGGAAAATTATTTTAAACTGCAAGCGAAAAATCTAAAAAGCTGTTTACATGTAAATGAGTTAATTTACCATACTCATGTCTTCGTAGCATATAATGTTTTAGTGTTATTATTTGTTTTGAGAATGTCCAGTGAAATTGAAATGGCTATCGTATCGTA